TAGAGCCAACTGGTCTGGCCTCAGAAGGCTGAACCTTTGCAGCTGAGGCCCCTGTTGGACTGACCTCTTGGGGAAATTGAAAGGGTCTCCAGAGCAGGGCACCCACGCATATACTGCATACCTCATTGCCCTTGCCCCCCGACTCCCCAGCCCTCAGTCTGGATCTGGGGCTCTGAAGGCTGTTTGGGGACCCTTCCCTATCTCCTCAAATCCTGCTTCTCTTCCTGTGACAGGAAAATATGGGGCGCGACCCTTCAGTGTTCAGGCCAGAGCGATTCCTCAATGCAGATGGCACGCTCAACAAGGCCCTGAGTGAGAGGGTGATTTTATTTGGGCTGGGGAAGAGGCGATGCATTGGGGAGACTATTGCACGGTGGGAAGTCTTCCTCTTCCTGGCCATCCTGCTGCATCAGATGGAGTTCAGTGTCCCTTCTGGAGTGAAGATGGATTTGACCCCAATCTATGGGTTGACCATGAAGCATGCCCGCTATGGGCATTTCCAGGCCCGTCCACGCTTCTCCAGGAATGGCTGAGCAGCCATTGTCAGGCCTGGGCTATTATATCCTTCCTCCTCTCCTTCAACTTATTGATTGGGGCTTCTAACCCAAGGAGTCATGGCCCTGGCATGTACAGACATTGCTTCTCTAGTTCATTTTCATTTCTTCTATCAATCAAACCTCTTAATTCCTGAAAAGAAAGGGGAGGGGGTGGGGCATGGACTTCCCCCCAAACCTCCATGACACACTTGACAAATGGTCATCAAATCTTTGTCACAAGATCTCTAATTTGGCTATGGAATCAAATGCGACTCACACTAAGGATGTAATTCATTAAGACCATCCAGATTGTTTGCATGCATGCTATTTTCTTGCCATGTCTCCCCACCCTTGTACTTGTGAAGCTGGTTTTGAATCCAAGTGTAAGACTTAGCATTCATTTCTATTAAATTTTGCCTTATTCAGTTTGAACCCATGTTCTTGTCTATCACCAGTCGTGTTAGCTGCTCCTTCCAAACCTTGTGTATCTGCAGATTTGATAAACCTTTATCCAAGTCACTGAGATAAGGCCATGCATAGATCCATGGTACACTCTGTTGCAGACCACCTTCTGAGATGCCATGGAAATATTAATGACTGTTCTTTGGACCCAGCCAAATCCACCCAATTATACTATCATCTAGCCTGGCAAATGTTTAACAACTAGCTCTTGAGTGTGGGGGAAGAGGGGGGAATATATGCATGATACACTTCTAAGTTTAATCCGCATTATTACCATTCTCTCCATCACTTAGTTAAGTCTAAACAATCAGCAAAACCAAAAAATCAAGCCCTGAGTTGTAGTATTTGACAACTTCTGAGTTGTAAATGCTCACACTGAAAATTTTACATAAGTTCTCACTGTACAATTTGGCTCCAAAACACCCCTGCATCAATCCTACATCTCTCCATCTTTAAAAAAGAATAGCATGAAAAACTTTATTTGCTAAAAAATCTAGGCAAAGATTATCTACAGAAATTCCCTTAGTATTCCAGGTTAAAAAACCAGTCAAAAAGTCAGACTGCTATTTTTTAAAGTTGTCATATAGATTTGACTTTTGGAGCCAAGTAAAAAAAAAATTTATTCACTGTTTTACATTATTTAGGTCCTTGTTATTTTTCACTCATATAGTTAAAGGAGAATTAACTATAAATAAAAAATAAAATAGATAGTGTACTAAATGAAGGGTGGTGAACTGAGTGGGGCAACACAAGGGAGAGACAAGAGAATGTTTATACTAATCATGTCAACCCCCACCACCTCCTCTCAGATGCTAGCAGAGACACTGATGGACCCTGAACTGAAGATCCTTGGGAATAACAGTGTTTTCCTAGATTACTGGGCCTGATTCCAGCCTGATATCCACGGATATCATGGAGAGGAGTAACTTCCATGGAGATGGCCCTACCATCCTCACCAGTCTCACCACCACCAACATGTACTGCAGACCCACTGTCATGTAAACCAGAGAAGCAGCAGCATGCCCTGTCCCCTCCTCCCACACTCACACCTCACTGGCCCAGCCCCATCTAGAGAATCAGCCCTATAGTTCATATCTTCTCAGCAACCACAACTACTGAAGGTCAAAAAAAGAAAGTTTTTGCCATCAAAGTCCCTGGCACTGTCAAATGTTTCAACGTCAGAAACAGCTATGATGCTATTAGTGGAAATGGCATTAAAGGAGAGATGTCACCATCTTCCTTGCTGCTGCATGTAAGGATCACAGGAGCTTTCCATCTGCCTTGTGCTGAAACCTCCTATATGTTCTATGGCCTGCTACAGAATGTGAGCTCCTTGGGAGCAGGGGCTGTCCTGCTTTTCTTTCTGTATCACCAGTGCTTTTCATATAGTAAGCACTTAATAAATGCTTTTTCATTCATTTATTCTTTCATCTATCCATCCATCCTTTCACTGATTGAACAGCCTGGGAGTAATAAAAATCCAATGAACTGTTCTAGCCTCAGCTCTGATATGAATTCATTGTATTACCTTATGCAAGTCACTTTCCCTCTGGGCCTCAGTTTCCTCTTTTGAAAAAGTGAAAAGCTTAGACTAAATGGTTCATAGGATCCTCCCAACACTAAGACTCTACATTCTATATTTTTTCAATTAACAAGCACTTATTTTCTCTTCCTTCCATCTGTACTCTCTATTTTAAAAAAGGAAAGGAGAGGATAAAAGGAGAGGACAGAAGAGGATGGAAGGGAAAGGAAGGGAAGAGAAGAGAAAGGAAAGGAAATGAAAAGGAGAAGGAAAGGAAAAGAGGAGTGAAGGGAAAAGGAAGGGAAGGAAAAGGGAAGTGAAGTGAAAAGAAAGGGAAGGAAAAAGAAAGGGAAGGGAAAAGAAAGGAAGGGAAAGGAAGGGAAAGAGGAGAGGAAAGAGAAGGGAAGGGAAAGGAAGAGAAGAGAAGAGAAGAGAAGAGAAGAGAAGAGAAGAGAAGAGAAGAGAAGAGAAGAGAAGAGAAGAGAAGAGAAGAGAAGAGAAGAGAAGAGAAGAGAAGAGAAGAAGGAAGGGAAAATCCTTTTAATAATTATGTCTAGTTAAGAAAAACAAATTCCTGCATTGGCCATGTCTAAAAATGCCTTCCTCATTGTGCATCCGAGCCCATCCCCTCTCTGTCAGGAGGTGGGTAACATGCTTCATCATTGGTCCCCTGGTATCAAGTTGGTCAACTGCACTGACCAGTGTTCTTAAAATTTGTCAAAGTTCCCTAATGTTCTACATTCTAAGATCCCTTTCAGCTCTAACATTCTCCATTTTAAGATTTCTCCTCTGGCATTTTTTATTCGAAATTTATAATGATTGCTGGAAAGTAATTTGGAAATATGTCCCCACCACTAAACCCTTTGACCCAGCTATTCTACTATTGGGTCTATACCCAAAAAGAAAAAAAGAAGGATTTTTGTGTACAAAAATATTTATAGTAGCTACCCTAATCTTTCCCTAGGTACCCAGTATTTAACTTCTTCGTGGCTTCACTGTGTTGACCCATTCAGGATGTTACTGCCTGGGCAACATGCTGTATCCCAGACACCCTCCTACCCAATTAAAGTAGACCGATCTCCCTTCCCCCCATCCTGTGGTCTCTGGATTAAAGGGCCATAAACACCAGCATTTTAGAGGGAATCTTCACTAATCAATGTCTTCAGTAATCACTGCCATAACCCACGCGGTTGGAGCTTCATGGTAGAATTTTGGGCACCATGGCAGACCACAGTATGGGAAATACGGTTGGGGACATTACTCCTCCCTCCTACATACACATCATACTAAGCAGATGGTCACTTCTCTGCTAGCAAGCCATATCTGGGGCTCTCTCCAAGGCAAGTTTTGCTGGTTTCTTAGGGATGCTATTTGATCTGTTCCTTAATCTCCTTTCCCCTTCTCAGTTCCCTGACCCTCCCCTCCCACTCTATCCCCCAGGGACTATTTAGTGACAGTTAATACTAATTCCCTGATTGAAGACTGTGGCGATGAAAGGTGAGGCAGGATAGGATGCATCTGAGGATGACTAGGGGTGGAGTGGGAACATATGAATGGGAAGCTAATGGTCTCTGAGGCCTAGTGTAGAAGAGGAGAAGGGAATAAGCATTTATTAAGTGCCTGCTGCATGCTGAACACTGATCCAAGCACTTTACAAATATTAACTCATTTGACCCTCATAACAACCCTTCGAGGTAGGTGTTACTATTATCTCCTTTATACAGTGGGGGAAACTGAGATAAACAGAGGTTAAGCGATTTACTCAGGGTCACACAGCTAGAACTCAGGTCTTGAATCCAGGCCCAATGCTCTATCCACTGAACCCCCTAGACGTCTCAGGTCCCACTTTTTCCTAGAATTCCTGGATCCATGATAGGAAACCCTTCTAAGGTAGATGGGTTATTCACTGAATGGAATGGGTAGTGGGGCCAGCCATTAGAGTCCTTTTTTCCATGATCATAACAGAGTTCTGTGACTGTCCCTAATACATTTCTCCTTCTTTATTAACACCTAACTCTTCTTTGAGACAAATGTTTCTCATACAGGACTTTTCTCTTTCCACTCACCTGCTTAAGGGTTAGTGGTTCCTCAGGAAACTGAAGCCCAGAAAAGTTCAGTGACATAGACCATAGGTCAAGAGCTGCCCTCATTTCAGAGAAGGAAGCTGAGGCCCAGGAAAGTTAACTGTGAGGCATATGGTGAAAGTTATTATTCTAATTTATTTATTATCCCCATTTTGAAGCTAAGAAAACTGAGGCCCAGAAAGGGAGAGTGACTTGCCCAGGGTCACTAGCGATCCACATCAGAACAGAAAAGGTCAGGGCTCTTTCTGCCATCAATTGCACTGGTCATACCCCCCTGCTCTATGAAGCAAGTTTGAGGAAAAGTGGTCTGTAAACTCGGAAGTGGCCCTACAAATGTAAGCTATTATTAATTGTAAAATGAGGGGGATGAACTGGATAATTCCTAAAACACCCTTTGGTCCTATGGTCCTGCAAGGGAAAGGAAAACTTGGTGTGGCTATCTCAGAAGCTAGGGAGAGAAGGGAGGAGGGATCTCAAGCCCAGCATTGGCAGGGATACCTGGGCTCTCAGAGCCAGGAGAGTGACTCCAGACTCTCAACCTGCCAAGGGCCATGAACGCCAGAACACAGGCGTAAATACGGTGCTGTTACCCTGAGTAATGCATGGGTCTGACTATGTCTGCCTGAGGGGCAGCGTAGCAAAGAGAAAACCGCCCTCAGTCAGGAAGATCTGGGTTCAGATTCTGCCTCCAATTTACTATGTGACCCTGGGCAAGTCACCTGTTCTTTCAGGGTCACTTTCTGTTGATCTGCAATGGAAAAGAAAGATCCTCACCAGGAGCTCCCTAGCCCAATGAAGGGGCAGCTAGGTGGCACAATGGATAGGGTCAGGAAGACCCAAGTTCAAATCTGGCCTCTGTGACCCCGGGCAAGTCACTTAACCCTGTATGCCTCAGTTTCCTCATCTATAAAACAAGCCGGAGAAGGACATAGCAAAACACTCCAGTATCTTTGCCAAGAAAAGCCCAAACGGGGTCCAGAAGAGTTGGATGTGACTGGAACGAGCCAACAAAGAGAACAATGCAGCGAATCCCAGGGCCAGACTGCCCTCTCCTCTCCAAAGTCTTTCGGGAAGAGGCTGGGCAGGGGATGGAAGTCTGCAGTCAGGTGTGAAAGCGAGCCGCCATGTGGATCTGTGTGCAGGTTGGTCTGTGTATTCGTCCGTGGGGGTATGCCCACGCTTCTGTTTTGTCGTGCTCTGATGTAATGGAGGACTCCCTAGACTGGAATCGGGCAGAGCCCGGGTTTGATTCCTTCCTGTGCCTCGAGCTGACTGCGCGCGCAACCCTGGAACAATTCACTTAAGCTTTCTGACCCACTTCAGTTTCTTCATCTATAAAATGGGGGAGATTAAACTTGCGTTCTCTAAGTTGCTGCATTTTAGTGGGGAAGACACTTCGTAAACTTTCCAGCTTTGTAAGAGTGTGAGATCATTAGGATAGAGGCCAGACCTGCGATTTCACGGACATAGGGAACACCCAGGTAAGGAAGCTCTCTCTATCAGTGCAGGCTCCCACCCTCTCTTACCAACACAGGTGATTAACCACCCTGGGTCACACAGTCAACGTGTATCTGAGTCAAAACTCGAATCCAGTGGTCTTATGTTAGTTGTTTTATCATCATCATCGTTTTGTTGATATTATTATTCTTATTATTAGTGCATATCATTAAGTAATGTATAGTATGTACATTGAGTCGGAACTTCCCTGTGACCTAAGCCTTGGTTTCCTTATCTGGAAAATGGGGATAATGCTTAAGTGCCTTCCTCATGGGGCTGTCATTCATAGGGCTGATATGTGATTTTGCTAACTTTAAAGTACTGTATAAATATCAGTTATGTTTATTGCTACTGTTATTGTTATTAGACCAAGGGCACAGATGCTCCCAGAGTTCTCCCGCGGCAGACTTCCAGGTTCCCTTACCATACACACCCCTTGTCCTCAGCAGCCCCCTTGGGAAGTCTTGGCCAGGCCAATGCCCTCATCTCGCGGCTCCCTCCCCCCCATCCCCCTGGACCTCAAGCATAGGACCCCTCATCAGGGTAGGGGCTGACCTGACCCCAGCCCAGGCCATCTTTTCAGGCTCCAGACTACATTACACCGCCCACCCCTCCACTAGCCCGGAAGGACTGGAAGGACGCCAGGGAGTTGGAGTGGGGGGAGGGGGCGGTTGGGTGGGGGTTGGCGTGCCAGCGAACAATGAGGAGGCCCCCCCCAGCCCCTCCTCCAGTCACCATCGCGTGAGAGCTGACGGAAACCCATCCCCGGTCCAGAGCTGGGTGGGGCCCCAGCCGGCACCTCCACCTCCTCCGCCCTCTCTGGGCCAAGGGTCAGGGGCAACCAGAGGAGCCCCCGCCCCGATCTGCAGCCAGTCCCAGGGAGTCAAGGCTGGTCAGCTCCGGTGCTTGAGGGGTGCGGAGTGTGGGGTGTGAGGCGCGGGGTGCGTGTGACCCCTGTGGGGCTCATGCCAGGCTAGGGACGTGGACTAGGGGCCGTGATGGGTCGGGCCGCCCTAAGTCAAAGGGCTGTAGAGGGGGGTCCCAGCCCCGGGGGTCGCCTCCCCTGCTCTCTGAGCTCTCCTAGTCTGAGCCTCAGCTTCCTGCATGGCAGAGATATCCTGACTTCAGCGGCCTTGGCCTCTGCCTTCCTGCTTCCCCTTTCGATGGGAGCCTCAGTTTCCTCATCTATTAATTCAGAAATAATACTAACACCTACTTCTCAGGGTCATTATATTCTTCATTCCTCCGAATTCCTTCACAGGGCCCAACCCAGGACTGGGCACATATGGCACTCCACCTAAAGTTATGGATGTGCCAGAAGAAAGTCTGAGGACAACCAGCTAACACAGCTGTGCTGAGGATAGTGGGATCTGTCCCCAGACTTTCAAAGATCCAATAA